TAACGTCCGGATCAAAGCCGGTGATGAGTGGAAGGCGGCCTTCGTGACTAACCGGGGGCTGTACGAACCCCTGGTGATGTTCTTCGGTCTCACCAATTCCCCCGCGACCTTCCAGGCGATGATGAACGAGATATTCCACGATCTCATCGTTGGTGGCAAGATCCTCGTATACCTGGATGACATACTCATCTTCTCCACCAATAAAGAGGAGCATGAGAAGGTCACACGCGAGGTTCTGCGCCGCCTTCAGGATAATGACCTATTCCTGAAGCCTGAGAAGTGCGAGTGGGACGTCCCCAAGGTCGACTACGTCGGCTATGTGTTCGGTGGCGATGAGGTGGCGATGGATCCCGCGAAGCTTAAAGGAATTAATGAGTGGCCGGTACCCCGGAACAAAAAAGATGTTCAGAAGTTCCGGGGGTTCTCCAACTTCTATCGCCGCTTTATTAAGGACTTCGCTAAGATCTCGCGACCACTCGACCGACTCACAGGGAACGACCCATGGCATTGGGGCGAAGAAGAGCAGTACGCCTTCGATGAGCTCAAGCGACTCTTCGCAACGACTCCAGTCCTGGCGCTATATGACCCTAATCGGGAAACGCGCATTGAGGTCGACGCTTCGGGTTACGCCACTGGCGGCGTGTTGATGCAGAAGCAGGATGACGGCAAGTGGCACCCTATCGCCTTCCGATCCCATGCGATGGATCCGGCACAGCGGAATTACGAGATCTATGATAAGGAGATGCTTGCGATCATTGAGGCACTGGACGATTGGCGCCACTATCTCGAGGGGTTACCCAATCAGTTCGAGATCGTGACCGATCACAAGAACCTCGAGTACTGGCGCACGTCTCAGCATCTCACGCGTCGCCAAGCACGCTGGTCACTGTTCCTAGCTCGCTTCGACTTCCGCATCACGCACAAGGCCGGAACGTCCAATGGAAAGGCTGATGCCCTGTCACGCCGATCAGACCATCAGATTGGCGATGAGGACGATAACACCGATCAGGTGGTCCTCAAACCGGAACGCTTCCGCATCGCCTCTGCCAGGCGTGGTCATGCTTCGGTAACGGCCGATCAGTCACTTCTAAAGCGC